TATTAGAAGGAACACATGCTCACACGAGATATCCCAATTCCCGGATTCACCAAAACTGTGGCTTGAAACCTGGTGCACATTCATCATGTCTGGAATTGCTGAGAAATTTCCCAGCCACTTAACAACTTTCCTCTTGTTACTGTGACTTCATGTTTCACACTCCCCCTCTCCCCCCCCCCCGCTGGTCATCTCCTCTTAGACACACACACACACACACACACACACACACACACACACACGAATGAGGCCAACTGACTTGCATTGCTGGTGCCATCTGTTGGGAATAAGTCCAGAGTTCAGACATTCAACAATTAAAATGACAGCACGTTGGCTCCTCCATTCTCACTAGGTGAGAAGTGTCCAGTCACTCAGCTCCTGGGAACTATATACATGACAAAAACTATGTCCTTCTTCTCCATAAAGGAGGACTGTAGATTCGTGGCCCAAAGCAACTTCTACCTGCTCCACTCTCAGGTCTCATTGCTTCCATTGTTCCTCACTTTCTCGCTGTAAGGACAGAGCCTTTGTACTGAGTCTGTGTGACCTTGCATGGGTGGCCAACCTCTGCGGCTCCCTTGGCTCAGATTTCATGTCAAACCCTTTATGTAGAAGGGGCTCCCAGCACAGGAGGGTGGGAAACTGCTCTGCTCATGGAGGGACCCTGCAGCTGCTCCCAGCTGCTCCAAATGCCGATTTCTCCTCGGAAGAATCGAAAGCATCTCTATTCAAAGTGCCTTTCCAATGCCCCGGAAAAACAGGGCCATAATCATTAGAGGTCAAAAATGCTACATTTGGATGAAGTCAGGGCAGTACTAGCTCCAAAACTCCAAGCTGTGTAACTTTGAGCTTCCTGTATACTATAAAGCAGATAAGTGGCATTCTTCTGTGCTGAAACTGTCCATATTTATTAAAGAAAAGGAATGACAACATAGGGAAGAGACATGTAAATACAAAACACTGGAGAGTAAGTGCTTCCTATCTTGTACCAAAATAAGAAACTGAAGCACAGAAGCCATTTATATATCTATGTCTCTCCTCTCTTCAGAGAGAGAGAGAGAGAGAGAGAGAGAGAGAGAGAGAGAGAGAGAGAGAGAGATTGATTAGGCTCTCTGACATTCCCAGGTTCTGCATCTGCAGGTTCAAACAACTGTAGATCAAAAATATTCAGAAAAAAAGGTCTGCACTAAAGATGTACAGCTTGTTGTTCATATTATTTCCTAAACTACACATGACAACAATTATTTATATTACATTTACATTGCATTAGTATATTAAGATACATATATATGTATATTTATATAACTAAACCTAAAATCGTCACACTGAGCTTCATCCTCAACTTTTAATTTTTTTTTATTTTAGGAAAAGTTCTCACTAAATTGATAAATTGCCAACACTGGGCTCAAACTTGCAACCTCCCTGTCTCAGCCTCCCAGATTGTTGGGATTATAACTTATAACATAGCATAAAATTTGCATATAACCTATGTATATGCTCCTAGAAAATATGTTATACCATTTTGTGGAACATATTTGAGTATCTGAGGAATTTGATCTATAAGGGGTCCTGTGAATCAAGCCCTCACAGATATTAAGGGATAACTGAATGCACAGATATTTATTTATTTATTTTATTGTTTTTATTCAAGTACTATACTTTAAAAATAGAGATGTTTTTCGTGAGTCTTCTTATTACATGTAAGTAAGTGCAGTTCACACCTGCCCTTGAACTCTAGTAAAGTCAGTTGCTCTAGACTTCCAATGGAGATTCCAACAGCTTGAGGCTAGCGAAGCAATTTTCCATCTTCCCTTGTGGACTGAGTTTGCACAGAGCTAAGTAATGGAAGCCATCCACTGTGAAGGGCTGTTCTTGCATGACTTGACATGAGAGCTGCAGACATGTGTCATCCTGATACCATGTCTGCTAAATTAAGTAATGAGGAATGTTTTTTTTAAACCCCATCAGGGTGGAGTTGTATATACAGGGAACTCCACTGAAGTGTCCTAAATTATTATGAATAAATCTATACACACATACAAATTTGCTAAGAAGTTTGTCAAAGATATTAGGATTTTTCAAATTGATAAGAAAAATTTTAGAGATTTTGAATGCCAACTTTATTTTATCTTTGCTCCAAGTTTGTTTAAAGGAAGGATTTATTACTCTACTCTTGAAAT